CTCAAAAAAAAAAAAAAAAAAAAGTGAATTGATATATGTAAATATCAAAATGGGATCTGTAAACATTCCTATGTTCTTTTCTCCCATACTCAGCACTATAATTGATGATTGAGATCCAAGTAACTACCCAGCAGCTCCCTTCATGTCTATCTGTGATCTAGAGTCAGGATAGAGACAGGCGCAGCTCCTGGGGTGACTACCCGGTGGCTGCTCCCTTGTCTGTCTGTGATCTCATGTCAGGACAGAGATATGTGCAGCTCTGAGTGTAACTACCTGGCTGTTCCCTTCATGTCTGTGATGGAGAATCAGGACAGAGACAAGCACAGCTCTTGGTGTGATCAGGCCTACCATTCTCTCACAGTGTGTATTTGGTGCTAACTGTGACCTAACACTGTGCTTAGTGCCATGAAAGTGGGACCAGTAAGATGTATTCCCCCTGCCTGAGATCGTTACATCCTGCCAGAACGTCACACCAGCTTCCGTTCAGCTGCACGTGCTTGTTGATGGAGAAATCACGTGTGTTTTCTAGCTTCCCTAGGGTGGAACTTGCATCTGGCACAGGGATTCCTTCTGATTTCTGAGCCCTGTCCTACCAAGTGTTGCAGGCCATCACGGCCTCAGTGTCTCCACACAGAAGACCTCTAGATGCCCCCAGGGCCAGCCTAGCATCCCCTGAAACCTCCCTGTCCTGGCCTGTTCTCCTGAGGCCACGGGAGCCCATGCCCAGAGCTTGTGACATCAGTGGAAGCACGTTAAGCTCATGCCGCAAGAGCCACAGGGACGACCTACCACCAAAGAGCCCTGCCAACCCCCTGTTGCTTCAACCTGTGCGGTCCTGATGGTGCTGCTGTCTCCTACTGTCCCAGCCACAGGTGTCTCCTCCACATACCCTCCCTGGCTCCTGCTGCCTGGCCCATCTGCCCATGGTGGATCTGTGAGCTCTGGCCTCCAGGTCTTCCGCAGCCTCCACGAGCTGCACAGGCCCATGGCCCTCATCCAGACTTCGACCAGTGTTGGGGACTCAGAACTTACTGGAGAGCAGAGTGGTGATGTGGTGTGTCAGCCATGCCGGTGTCACCATGGAGAGCACCCCAGCCTCCAACACAGCTGCCGCTCCTTAGGAATTCAGGGACACGTGAATATTCACACTCATGACCAATAATGACCATAGGTCACTTCAAGTCAAGTGAGGCAGTACCCAAGGAGTGCCCATGTTGCCCCCTAAAGACCCAGCTTCAGAGCTTTTTTGGGACTTGAAGTCGCAGATGATGGCTCATGGACCTGCCCCCAAAGCATTCTTCCCGCCAGAGGCCAGCAGGCATGGCACTGTGCACTGGTGACCCCTGGTGCTGCCTCCAGGAAGAGGCCAACACGCACAGTGTTGTGCACTGGAGACCCCCAGCACTGCCTCCAGCAAGAGGCCAGGAGGCACAGTGCTGCACATTGGTGACCCCCAGCACTGCCTCCTCGTCCTTACTCTTGGGGGGTGGGGTCTTGGGAAGTAGGACATGGTGGCTGAGTGCCCTGAAATGGAGGGTCCCTTAAGAGGCAGTTGTCCAGCAACCCTAAGGAAGTGTTAGTTACCAAGTTCTAGAAGCAGCCTCCCATCCCTTAGAACTCTACTCTTTTCTCTGAAAATCCTGCTGGTTAAGAATCACTGACCAGTCCTTCCAGACATCAACAACCAATGTAAGGTTCTCAGAGCTTTCCCTGGGGATTTAGAAACTCAGTAAACCTCACTCCCATACCTGAGGCTGAGTTTCCCAGATGGCTTCACTTTGAAGATCTGCCCAGAAGCATCAGAACCCCGGATACGCTGCTAGAGCGTGCACAGGAATTGCCAAAGAGTGTGGCACTGCCCACAGCCCACAGGAGTGTCCATGTCCCATCTGACATGTCCCCAGGGAGACTGGCGGCTGCCACTGGGAAATGTCAGCCGGCCACTGAGATTCCAGACGCTCTGATATGAAGACTCATTCGGACTCTCTGGCGGTCCATCTCTGTGCTGCTCATGCAGTCATGCTGACCTCCACCTAGGACAGGCCTCGTGCAGCTGGGGACCCCTCCATGGTCAGGTCCACGCAGTGGGGAGGGACCCTGTGTGCAGGAAGAGAGGTCTTGCTGGAGGAGGGCTCTCCTGAACGTGCCTCCACTGCTGCTTTTCTTCTTTAATCTGTTTTCCTTTCTCCCATCGGATCCACTTCAGTCTGACATAGTTGCAGTTCTAGTGCACAAACACAAAGAAGTCTCATCCTCACATGAGGGATGTGGAGGCGTTCCTCAAGCAGGCCTCATGTTGCGTGGTTTTCTGGTGCACGTGGAACACGCTGAACGGCCCCTCTCGGGGTGCCTGCCCTGGCCTGTGCTGTCTTGGTCCTCATTTCCCAATGCCGAGGACACACCGTGCTGGCTCCCCTCCGTCCTGCGGCCCCATCAGGACTCCTGTTGGAGGCTGAGCGGCCCCCCGCTGCGTCTCACCTCCTCCTCCGGTTCCCAGCTCAGCCCACACTCCAAGGCTGGCCTGACTTAGAGCTGCAGCAAGCCAGACTGCCGTGCCTCTCGCCCCTCTCCCCTTTGCCTTGGGCCCTCCGAGATGCCCCTACCCCCGTGGATGTGTGGGCTCCTCCAGGGCCACCCCAGGCCCCTTGGGGGGGGTCCCTCTCCCATCCCCACTTAGGAGTTCCCAGTAGAAGCCGCAGGTGAGAGGGAGCCGCCATCACCCACTCCCTGCCTGTGATCTGTGAGCCCTGGAGACTGATGTCTTGATGTGAAAACACTGGGCCCACTGTCTGGGTGAGAGCCACAGTTTAGACCATGGGAAGGACCGCCTTTATCTGAGCCACGTGAGGCCTGTCTGGAGCTTGTTTAATAGAACATGTACAGCAAACGCATGCCTGCAGTGAGATGCTGAAAGTGTCCCTGGAGAGAGAGGCAGGGCCTCTCCATTCCTGCCTGCCGTCCCCAGCCTCACCGAGAACTGTGTTCATCAGAATCCCTGGTTTCTTTTTTTTTGAGTTGGAGTCTCACTCGGTCGCCCCGACTGGAGTGCGGTGGCCGCTCCTGGCCACCGCAGCCTCGACCTGCTGGGCTCCGGCGATCCTTCCGCCTCCGCCGTCTGAGTAGCTGGAACTACAGGCGCGCGCTACCACGCCCAGCTAATTTTTGATTTATTGTAGAGATGAGGTCTCGAACCCACGAGCTCAGGCAGTCCACTCACCTCAGCCTCCCAAAGACGCAGGATTACAGGCTGAGCCACCGAGCCTGACTAGAATTCCTGGTTTCTATGGAACTGTTTCCAAAATGCGGAGGGCCCTTCAGAACTGTTGTGGTTTTGGTGTTTGTCTGAGGATCAGACTAGTTTCATTCCAGCCGTATTTTTGTTGTTGATATCTTTAGTGGACCTCACTGCTTCCTCTTTGGGGCTTCTCAGACTGTGGTGCGTGTCACCCAGAGGCTTGCTAGACCCCAGCCTCAGAGTCAGACTTGTGTGTCTGTGCTGGGCTGGGGAGCTACACGCACACAGGCTCACAGGCTCCAGACGTTGCAGCCACATGGGAGGACCATGGCTCCATGTGAATGAGCTGTGCAGAACTCGGTGTGATCGGATATGTAGGAAAGGTCACTGTGCAGTTATCATGGCCAGTTCCAGTGTGTGACAGTCATCAGTCCTGCACCTCTAGCCCTGTACCCTGGCACTGTCACCCCAAGGGTAGCAATTCAGGGTGACAGTTGTCAGTACTGTGCCTCCAGCTCCATCTCCTGGCACTGTCACTCCAAGGGTGTCAGTTCCTGGAATGTGACAGTCATCAGTCTTGTGCTTCCAGCCCTGCACCCTGGCACTGTCACGCTGTCACTCCAAGGGTGTCACCTTGGGAAGCCTTCGTCAGGCAGCATGAGTGTCTCACACTAAG